AGCCTTTCCTTACCTAGAGACCTTTGTGCTTGTGATCAGCAATAAAAGGCTGTACTTGGAATTTAAAACCTCAGCCAGGTGAAATACCATAGATGATTATTTAAAGGCTTTAAATAAAAAAAAAAAAGCTGTCTGTCTGTAAGAACCAGCTTTTCACATTCACATTGTATGGCTGTGGACTCATAGCTGGGTTATGAAAGCAGCCCAAAATAAGATGAGATATAATAAAACACAAGCTGGGCTTAAGGAAGAATTGATTTCTGACAGCAGTTCTCAATGTTTTAAACACTAGCTGCAGACCTCATATATTTCTGAATTTAATTGCACAATTCCCAGTGATTTAACTTTACAAAAATTTACATATTTCCATGCTCACAATTTGAAAAACTCTTACAACGAGGAACTTTGGTTGACATAAACACAGTTCAAAGAAAACAGTATTTTTTTCCAAACTAAGACCCTGGCAGCAGATGACTGACATCCTACATGTGCTGAATATATCCTGTACCTCTAAGCTCTTCTGTTGTGAATTCCTTTCTATGCTGTATTTCTACAATGTGGATTTTAACCCTTGAGGTGAGAACTACAGAAAAATAGATAGCTAAATAAATACAAAAGAAAATTTGCCAGATGTGCCTTAGACACTGAAAAAACTGAAATTTAAAGAAAGAACTGAAAATTAAAGAAAACAACCAATATAAATGAGAAGGTCAGAACTTCAGATGGGATGAGCCAGCACAGGGGGTGGAAGAAGTTGATTTTCAAGGAAGGATGAGGAGGAGCTTGGACTGATGGACACGGAGGGCAGGTGCAAGGTGTGAAGGACAAATGGCACAAAACTCGTAACCGGGGTGATTTGAGTTTCTGTAACTAAAAAACAGGACACTCTGAATACTACAGCCCTCAGCAGTGTCACTGTTCACAAACATAATCTTAATTTTTAGACTTTTGGTTTAATCCATATCCAATTTTTCAAAATAATAACATGCATCCTTAGAAAACAAGACATTACACTGCTAATTCCAGATAAGTAAAGCACAGCTTTATTTTGTTTTCTTCTGGAGCATTATGTCACTCAAGTTCATCTTTCACAAATGCTTCTACAAGCCACAAAGACTTTATATTACTTCATAAAATAGCACATTTTCCCTTTTCCTTTTCTCCTTTATTATTTTCTTTTTTCTCTTTTATTTTCTTTTTCCTTCTTCCCAAACTACACCCACAGTCCCGACTGACACTTTCAATTGGAACGACAGGCAGCCAGACAAGAATGGCAGAAGAAACTTTATCTTAAGTATTTATTGTTATGCTGGAATATCACTCAGTTTTCTCTGGGGTAATTCAGCACTCTTGTGGGAAATGTGTGACCTCATTTGCATTTTCTAATTGAATTGCTATCAGGTTTCCTGCAAGACTGAACAAAAAAGTTCCTTGAGTTACTAACATCACTTGTATTAACCAAAAAAAAAAAAAAAAAGTTTACATTCAAATGTTTGCTGGGGAGGAGGGGAAATGTATGCTTCATGTATCATAAAATACATTTTTAAAGTATTTGCTTTCTTCTCTATCATTTCACCCTACTAGCATGACACTTTAATGTAGTAGTTAGAACTCTTTCCTTACAGTGTTTTTCACTAAAAACTGACAGGTTACTCAGTCATCTCAAGCAATCAGCACATTTGTAAGGCCAGTGCAGTGAAAGAGGGAATTGTCACTGTGTTGGGTCCCTCCCCATTAAAATGTCAGGCTGCATCAAGAGCAAGGCTCAGCTGGGGGATCAGGGGCACAGGGATGGACACCAAACCTTCTGGTTTTGCAGTGAAAGCACACAAGGAGGGGACTGGCCCAACAAGAAATGATCTGCTGCCTTGGAAGCCTCTGGCCACTGCCAAAGCAGCTTTTTGCATAGATTTTCAGTGCTGCATACTGTGACAAGAAAGGATCACAGCTCCAGAGGATCATTTGTTGATGGATAAATCCTCTGTGCTCTCCTGGAAAGCAGCCCACTGTCCCCACTGTGCAGGCAGGCTCACTCCTGGCCACCCAAAATCTCAGCCAGCATCCCAAAAATATTTATTTCTCCCATAACATTTATTCTGTATTATAACCTCCACAATAAACCAAATGTCTAATAATGGCCATTCTAGGAGGGCTGGTTTTGATGCAGTTTTAATCCCTGGATAATCATGAACTAAATTCTGATTTTTCCTTTCAGAAGGGGTTCTGAGGGGCACCAAGCCCCCTGTCATGAGGGGCTGCCCTTGCTGAAGGCCATTGCTCATCGAGCTGAGGAGGACCAAGGTAAAAGGACATTTTTTTTTGTGCTATAGGTGCCAACAAACAGTGATCAGCAGGTGTAGTAACTGAATTTCATGCCAATTATTTATAATGTCCTGGAACTGTTCAGCATTTTCGCAAAATCAGTCACAAGTTTACGAAGTAAAATGGAAATAAATGAATGTACCAGAAGAAAACTGGTCTTACTCCCTCTCTCAGGTCACCTCCTCCTTTCTCTCCCACATTTGCCATCTCTATATCCTGAGTATAACAAAACAATCTGAAATGTCTTTAAAAATACATATATATATATACAGTTCTGTTTGAGTCATATTATTCTACACAAAACCAAATGTGAAATCTGCCTCTAGTAAAAGCCACAAAACATATAAGGGTCATGGCCTGAAACATATTGAACTAGATATTGTAAGGTTTGGGGTGCTTTTTTCTGCACAAACACTATTATTTTTTAAAATAATCTCATAATCATATTTATTTCTTTAGTAAACAAAGGATTAGTTTGCTTGCAAAAACCACAGGCATTTAAATAAAACACAAGTCAGATGCCTGCTATGGGGACCCACAATAAAACTGCTTATGACCTTGTCATTACTCTTGTTTTCTGTATTTTTCCAGCCTCAAACTACACTCTAATAAGGCTTTTAGAAAGGAGGGATATGAATTTTAAGAAGCTTAGCTCTCTGTTTTCAACCAGAGTTCAGATTACATTAACATTAGATGAATTTCCAACTAAATATTCTACTAAAACAGAAGTGTGTGCTTATTCAGGTTTTTTTTTTCTCCTACACTGAGAAGAAATTTAAAGCAGTATGTAAGACATCTTACTTTGTTCCTTCAATATTTAATTACTTTTAGAAGGAAGCAGTATTTCTTTGGTTAGAAATGGCAAATAGAGTTGACAATAACAAACAGGGCTTAATTACATCTTGCACAAGCCCAAGCCTTACTGAACAGCTGCAGAAATATATTCATATGACTCTAAGCCCTGCAAAACCTTAGGGGTCAGCCCACTGGGCAAGTGAGAGATTCAAGTTTGTCCAAGTTTTTCCTTTTTGTCTCAAAAGTGGCACAGAGTTACAGGGTGGAATTCTAACAGCTTGACACAGGAAGTCTCTCCTTCTTTCCCCCTTTCCCCACCCTGCCCTGCACTCTCTGTCCAAGCACTACAGACAGGATGACAGCACAGGCCAGTCTTGCTGTTTGGATCATTACTGGGGTGCATTAATCCAAATTTCAGCCATGGCCAAGAGACCCTCCCATCCCTGAAGGAGCCATGGCTGCTTCCAGGACACACATCTTCATCCTTACTCTGCAGGTCCTCAAGAACCAGCAATAAACCAGGCTCTTGAAACAATTCCCTGCCAAAAATCCTGCCCTAATGTCACCACCCAACCAGCCCAGCATTGCACTGTTTGAGCCAGCAGCAGAGAAGATAACTGCATTTACGCCATGTATAAAAGATCTTCAGCCCAGACCAGCACTGAAAATGAGAAGGTGAACTGCTGCTGTCAAAATGATACGGAATAGGTGGGAAAGTGACAGCTACTCCAGGGGCAGAGCAGAAGAAATGTGTTTCCATGGAGCAGCCCCCAATTGCCGTGGCTCTGTGCAGCCCACCAGCAGATTTTCGCTGGAGGAGCACTGCTCTCAGACAGGGCAGGGACAGAGCACTCCTGCTTTTCAGCTGAGCGTACAGAACTAAAGCAGAAAGAAAGCAGCTGTACCCTTCTACTGCAGTGCTGGCTCTGGGTTTCTCTGCCAGGGTGGGCGAGGGAAGCTGCTGGCACTGAGCAGAGGGGACGTTTGGCCGCGCTTCACCGCCTGCCCCGCGTGTCAGCACGCATCCCTTATCAGGCAGCAGCAACACTCCCTGTCCTTGCAAGGGAAGGAACAAGCCCAAATCTCCCCTCTGGAAGCTGCAGGGCCATGAAGATTGCTCGCAAGAGTAACTCTGAAAACCAGGGAGATGAGGAGCAGGGCAGAGCTGGCAGTGCGCGACTGCAGCCTGCGCTGTCACAAAAGAAATCTGAGCCTAAAACTGATGCTGTTGAGCCAGGGTCGGGTGAAATGAGTCATATGGTTTTAGAAGGCAAATGAATGTTTATTCAAAAGCACCTCTTTCTTCTATAGACAACATTGTAAACATTAATTCCATTGGTCTTAAAGTAAAAATATTCCACCTGATTGGTACACTGGGCTTAGGTCAGTGTGGTAGAACATATCTATAAACAATATGAACGGAAAACAAGATAATAGATTGTTTACATTCCTCTTGGATTTTTTCCCAGGCTTAGCCTGGTAGAAATCTTTCTCTTTTTCTTTCTAACTGAACTGAGAATATCCAATAAAACCATCAAGAAGATGGTTGGTTTTGATTCTTCACCCTTCATCTTCTGGTTTGACTTGGAGTCAAGAGAGATTATCAGCCGTGAGCTGCAAACATGATGTACCTGACCTGTGCTGTATGACAGAGACAATGGTCACTTAAAAATACAGAAGTATAAACTTAGAGAACACATCCCTCACTGGAGACCTTAAATAATTTCTGTCAGAGAGGTGCAAGGATCATTTGCAATGAATTTGATGCTGCTCACGCTATCTCCTACTTGGACACTTCCTTATGAAGCACAGACCAGGTGACACAAAGACTTTGGGGCAAAGGAAGAACAAAGCAGGAAAAAGAGCTTCGAAAAAACTCTTACCTTGTGTCCGTTGTGCTGGGACTTCTCTGCCACCAGAAACCTGACCATGGCCTCCCATCTGCCCAGACTCTGGGGGTCCCAGGCGGTCACCACCAGGATCAGCTGCTTGGAGGGCAGCTGCAGGTGGTGGGCGGCGTACAGGGTCCCGTCCGCCCTCACCTTGAAGTCCAGGCTGTTGGTTTCGTACCGCACGCCCTTGTTACCGGCACAGTTATTAAATTTTACTAGAACAGAGAGGAAGAGATGGGAGAAATGTGTGAGATCGGCGTGATAAGGAAAGCAATCAAATACAAGTTTCAGACATTTAATTTTCACTGATGTCTTCTATATCTCTAATACCCATCAAGGAAATGATTTAACTGTTTCTTCGACCTTTCAGGAGTGCTCTTGTGCTTTATCTCTGTTCCCCAGGGAAGAAGTTGTAAGCCATTTTTAAAGTATTTGATACAGTTTCATTAGATCTCAAACACAGCTGTTCCCCATTTGTACAAGTGGATTTCTCCCTTGTCGCCATTATCTTTTAAATTCAACTGGAGTCTATTACCCACGCTGTGGGTATTTTTTTTCAGGAAATGTTCTCCATTTCCCTAACCCTTCAATAACCTACTTACCAGATAGCCTATTTGCACATTCTTAACTGAAATTCAAAAGCCCATAACAATTCCATTATCAGAAATATAAAAACAACAAAAAAAATTTAACACAGAAATAAAGTTAAAACCATTCTGGAACATGCATCTGCTGCTGGAACTGGACCCCCCCACATCCTGAGCTGCATTCCCACCTTGGCCAAACCCTCACATGTTACAGCTACTGCAAAAAGTAACTGTAAAACTGTGCTTCATAAACCGTGATGTGTCATTTGAAAGCCTACTTTGTCAGATCAAAGCTCCCTAGTCGCTGATATTTCTATTTTCGCCTTTTTTTTGGTCAAAGTCTTTCACAGTCTAGTTTGAAAACTATTTTTATTGGCATTATGAAACATGTCACATACATTAGACCAGAAAAAAACCTCCACCTATTATATGACAGAATTGACAAATCTGATAGAATTGAACCTGCAGCTAATAACACAGGAAACAAAACACTTTCTGCCATTTCAGTAATCCACGGGGCAGAACACACATGTGGTGAAGGAAAACATATTGTACCCGTAAAAACATCTCAAGTGAGTGAGAATGGATGCACAGCGCTCCAGCTCGGATCACTAGACAGGTTCTCATGCTGAGATGATCCAGCCTGCCTCGAGATGAGGACAACTTGCTGGGCCAGCTCTGGTGGGCTTCAGTAGACATTTAGTTCCTGCAGAAGAAGGGCTGGGTCAGATGGATCAGCCCAGAGTGGCTGTGGTGGAAGAAGGGATGCAGGGCACTCCAGGTGAGAGGAGCTGCTGGGACAGTTGTACCCCAGCTGTCCCTTTGCCCCTGCACCAGCCACAGCTCTGCAGTGCTGCTCTGAGCTGAATCAAGGACTAATTGGGATTTAAATTAAAAAAAAAAAAAAACCAAAAAAAAAACCCCATGGCACAGGTGAAAGAAAAAAGCAGCCAGGAAATGGCTCAACCCATCTGGCTGTCAAAGCCCACGGGTGCATCAAAGTATTGAGAAATGAGGAGCAGACTGTGGTAGAGGAGAGGAAAATCCTTCCCCTCCTTCACCAAAGTGCACCCCTCAATAACTGGGGTGCTGTGATCATGTGGTACCTGTTCATCTACAAAGGTTTGCTGTGCTGTGTGTTTATTTAGACCACTTTGGTACATTTTTATGTATGTGGTGGGAAGTGTTACCACATGCCGCAGCAACTGCTGGGCATGAACAGCGAATGTCACACATTGACTTATAAATAATAAAAGTTATCTAGTACATAAAAACCACCTGAAAGCCCTGGATGAGAGTAAGCACACACATGGTTTGCTGGCACCTACAAGACCTGGGAGAATCTCAGAGATCTGTGAGGGGAGACACCCTGGACCTCTAGGACCACCCTGCTGGGAGATCGCCTTCATCTCTCCGGAATTTCTGCAAATCTCCCCTGCATTCACAGCTACAATAGATATGTGTGAACATACCAAGTGCATCTTCACTTTTAAATGTTATTTATTTTCAGCTCATCACCTGGGTCACTGTTAGGAACTTGGCACATCAGCTGCTGTATTGCTGCACCCCTCTGCTGTGTAATGGTCATGTAAAACTCAAGTTCCATCCCTACTCCCCAAGTACCCACGTGTCATTCACTGAAAGACATTTAAAGAAGAGAGAAAGGAGTGATAATGACTGCATATTAAAAAACATTTTAGAGCTTACTTTGATTTTATTAAGATTAAAAGAAAGCCCTACAGTAGTCTGAAAAAAAAAAAAAAAAAGCAAGCTTTCTATATGTGTATGTAGTGATTTCAGTATTCAAAGTACTTAAACATCTGCTTAAGACCCAGCTCGTGGCTCCAAGATGCTGCTCTGGTGTCATATGTCACTGTGTCGACTTTTATGCTCCATTATCTAAAAATGGCTACCTCGTAGACGAAGTCCCTCTGTGACTTGCTAATTACTTCCATTAGTTTAAAACAAACTTGACTAGAGACAGAGAAAATCCTGAGAGAAATCGTCTGATTTTTTTTCTTTTTTTTTTAAACAAGCACCTTCTCTGCCCCACATTGCTCCTCTCAGGTAGCACAGCTAGGCGAATGCTCAGCAAGGGATTAGCACAGCCAGCTCCTCTCCTAAGAACTTGTAGGAACTGCAAGAGAGGCTTCAAGGACACAAAGATTCCACAGTTTCCAGTCACTCTGCACAGCAGCACTGGCCCTGGCTCACCTGGGCAGTGCTGCAGGAGATTCCAGCCCCACAGGGATGACCCTGCTTGGCTCTGTCAGGCACAGCAGCTGCTCTGGCTCCAGGCACTGTTCATACACAGCCCAGGAAACACACTGGAAATGCAGGAGAGCTGAGCTGCTCCCACTTCCATCACAGGGAAGGGCACAGCTCAGTGCTGGGCTTGGCAGTGCTGGGTGAACAGTTGGACCCAATGATCTTGGAGGTGTTTTCTAACCCAAATGATTCTGTGATTAGAAATCCTAAAACATCTTCTTGCCCTTTGAAAAAGAGTCCTTGGGATGTTAAAAGACTGCTTTATATATGTATACACAAAGATCCACAAAACCTATAAACCTCATTTATACATATTTATATATAAAATACTTTACCCAAGTATATGTGTACAGGCTTAGGAAAAAAAAATCAAGCTATTGTTCTGTAATAAATAGCATAGCTCAAGAAAAGGAATTCTCACCCATATTTTCAAATTCTACCTCTTACCCCTACTCTTTGCTCTTGTGGAGACAGAAATTAAAATTTCATTCAACAGTAGACAGCTTTTGCTTTTTTTCCTCCTTTTTCTCCCTTAGAAATCTCTAAGTCTACATAATTTGCAGTTGATGCAACTTTTGACTTTCAAATAATGCAAAAAATAAATAAACAAATGTTGGCTGGATTTACTAGTCTTAAAACTCTCTGTGGACACAAATCAATCTTTCCTTGACTGGTCTGAAGTCTAAAGAACACTGTACAAATTTGACATTCAAAAGCTGCAGCATCAGTAATCAGGATTTTGGATAAACAGCAGAGTCACACATCTATCATTTTTACAGGATGGTAAGAAAACCCCCAACATTTTAAAAAATATGCTGGAAAAATGTTCAGTGAAGCTTATCGAAAGCTTATGCTGAAAACAACATCTAATACCTGATGAAAAGAAAACCAAGAAGGCACTCTCATTAGCAAGCTTTTAGGTTTAACCCTTTACCCTCATCATTTTTAATTGCTTCTCTATGAAAGGAGGAAGTACAACAATTTGATAAGCTGAAACAAGTACTGAGTGATGGGCAGAGAAGCTGCAGGAGTCTGCAGCAAACTGCTGGGCATCTGAGAAAAAAAATTGTATTTTACTTCAAAAAAGACACAGGGTGAAAAAAAAAATTCAACAAGTTTTGCATTGTTCCCTTTTATTATTTAGCTTGTTAAACTGGATGGACAGAGTCAAATGATCAAGCCAGGATCTTGAAAGATGTACGAATACACTGAACTTCTTGCCCCTCATATGTCTGAGAGAAATACTGAATTTAATAGGACTATAAATGGTATAAACCAAAGAATTCGCTTTTAGCCTTATCCTTCTGGATTTTCCTTTGACTTCTCCTAGTCTATTAAAAAGTGCCCCCTCTGGCAAGCAGCATAGGGCTGGAAGAGCAGGAGGGATAATACTCGTTTATTAGGATAAACCCCCTGGCAGGACATCATCCCATAGTTCAGGATATGGGTTCCTCCAGGACTCTGTTTTTCACCATGGTTTTGAGGATTATCTCCACAAAAGATGTTTCTTTCCTGATGAACTTTGAGCAGCAAACACACAGCACTATTTCCAGCAGGATCCATCTGCTTTTCATGTTGTGTCTCTTGACCATCTCCCTTACACCCAGTGCACGGTGATAAATCTAAGCTGCCAAATCCACCCCTCACCCCTTCTGTGAGCATCATTAAGGTGAGGATGGCTTAACTGCAACCTTTGGGATTTTCAGATGTCTGGGTAAGCTGCAGAGTCCTCACCATGCACAGAAATGTCTCTCCTCTGTGATCATGAGCAAATCACTCAAATTCCTGCCCTGGCACTTCTGGCCTGATGCTCCCAAATGGCTGCACTCATCCATCTCCTCTGGCTTCTGCAGGGGATTCAGTCCTGGACAGCATTCCCTGTGTGTCACCACACCAGAAATTAAAAAATCCCAAACATATCCTGTGTGGAGAGGCTCCTGTTGCCTAAGAACAGGCACGAAACCATTCATTTACCCACAAAATGCACGGGCACATTACAGCCTCACAAAGTGACTTCTCCATTAAGTGCTAATGTGAAGCAGAGCGTGCTGTGCCTTGTTGGGAAGCTGCATTTATTTGGGAAAGTAAGCATGCAGCATAAAATTTTACACAGCCACATTTTTAAGGCATTCTTCTTTATGTTTGTGCATTCCCTCTGTGAGCCTGTGAGAAAACTGTTTTACAGCAGTGGGAACCAACTGGAGCTGAGTGAATTCCCCATGGCCACGCTGGAAACCTGGAGCAAAGCTGGGATCTAAGTCCTGGAATTCAAGCTGCCAGGAAACTGCCTCCATTGCCCAGATAGAAGTGAACAAGACAGAAAAATTAGAAAGAAGGACTTTCAAAAAGAAAACAGAGGC